GAAGAAGTGAGAAAACTCAACACTCTGGAGCTGTGTAGTTCAGATATAAATACTTCACAGGAAAAACATCCTTTCAAGTGTAACCGGGCGGTTTTATTGGAAGACATAGGTTGCATCCAGTGGTTGTAAATTCCCACTGGGTTTGGGTCCTTGAACACACCTAGGTCCCGTTCCCCACCGTCACTTCCGTTCTCAGCCTTGTCGGGCTCATTAAGCGTATATAGGCACCGGGTGTGCACGCCAATCTGTGTGTGTTTGTTTGGTCCGTTGGGGAGTTGGCTCTCAGGTCAGATGAGCGCTGGCGCCGTGCTCATCGGGTTGCTGAGTGTTCGGATCGTGGACATTTAATACTGATTGCTGCTGTTGCCTATTGTGCTCCCACAAACAGTGCAGCACCACAAACAATGCACAGCTCTCTATATTTTTTATTAGCTTGCTGGGCACAGCCTTAGGACTGGGTTGGGGCAATGTGGGGTTTGTTCTCTTTWGTCTAACATTATTGTTATTTGGTGTTTCTACTAATTTGGCTCGCATTTGTTTTTGGTTCCAATTGCTTCTAGTCTTGTCCTAGGTTTTTTGAGCCTTATTGCGTTTTAAATTAGGATAATAAAGTCTATTTAATATTGTAAAGGAATGTATAAATAAAATCTATTTTGTATACTATTTCTGTTTCCTCATTCTCAGCCAGACCTACCTGTGTACAATTAATAGGGAAACTCTAGACCACTTGATATCTCAGTAGTCTACCAGTTGGCTTCAGGGCCACGTCCTCYGTCACAATCCGGGTTCTTTCCCCCGTGTTACAATTTTCTGGCGTTGTTGGAAGGGTGCTTGTGATGGTGATGACGGATGTATTTTCGAAGTTCACCCAAGCCATCCCTACTCGTGATCAGAAAGCGACGACAGTGGCAAAGGTCCTGGTTCGTGAGTGGTTTTACCGTTTTGGAGTGCCGGCCCGTATCCACTCTGACCAGGGGAGGAACTTTGAAGGTGTTCTAGTACAACAGTTATGTGAGTTGTATGGAGTTCAGAAAAGTCGCACCACGCCCTATCACCCACAGGGAAATGGACAATGTGAACGTTTTAATCGAACTATGTTCAATCTGCTTCGTTCCCTAGCTCCAGATGAAAAGCGAAATTGGCCAGAACATCTCCCACAGRTGGTCTTCCARTATAACACCACTGRCCATCAGTCGACTGGTGAATCTCCTCACTTCCTCATGTTTGGACAAGAGCCTCACTTGCCAGTGGATTTTCTGCTTGGCCATCTRCCTGAGCCCACAGAAGCTAAAGTGTGTGATTGGGTGGCAGAGCACAGGAGGCGTCTAAATGTGGCCATTGATGTTGTTAAAGGCAGAGTGGAGTTGGCAGCCCACCGMAGAAAAGTGAGGCATGATGAGAAGGTCCGGTGTGAGCCACTTCAAGTTGGACAAAGAGTGTATCTGCGTGATGTTGGCCCAGGGCGCAGAAAGATCCAGGATGCCTGGGGGTCTACAGTGTACAAAGTCGTGAGGGCGRCGAATTCAGGTGGTGTTGTATATTCAATTGCTCCAGTTGATAACCCTCACCTTGTWAGACAAGTGCACCGTACCTCCATAAAGCCTGCCCTGTCACCTTCAGAGACCTGCTATGATGATTGGCCACAGAGGGCACCGGAGGAGAACAGTGATGAGGAGGACGTGGAGTCGGGATCTTGGCTGGTGTGCAGAGAGGCTGTTGGTAATCCATCCAGGCCTGTGGTCCCAGAACCATCAGAAAGGCCTCCAGCTCAAACACCTGTTCAGGTGCAGTCAGCTTCGCAGACTCCTCAGAGCACTAGGGCTGCCCCTAGAAAGTCCACCCGTAGCACTGCAGGCAAACACTCCAATCCTCACCATCTCCCAAGACCAGCTATGAGTGAAGATAGAAGGGCTGCTGTTTCTCTGGTTCCAGGTGTCAGCAGCGTGGTTACAGCCATTTTTCGACCCTGGTCATAGTTTTACTTAATCGGTGGGTCACCGATTCATAGAGGGGGGGTAGGATGTAACCGGGCGGTTTTATTGGAAGACATGGGTTGCATCCAGTGGTTGTAAATTCCCACTGGGTTTGGGTCCTTGAACACACC